TAAACTATCACTTCTCACTGTAGAAAGTTTGGGGTAGATGGGGAAACATGAGGAACAAAATGCAATCTAAAGCAATCATAATCCCTCCATCCAGAAATAGCTTTTTGTTATATTTCATTCCAATATTCTTCCATTACTATATATGTGTATAAATATATGCATATATATAATATTTTATTCTCAAATTAAGATTACAGTAAGTATACAGATTTGTCTCTTTTTTTCACTCAACATTATACTCTAAGCATTTTCTCTCATCACTAAAACTTTTAATGGTTGTAAAACATTCAGTTATATAGATGATTGGTGTTAATAACACTATCACCGCTGGAGCCTTGTTAAAATGTAGATATACTGCCCGCCGTTCAAAAGAATCTGATACAGCAACATTAGGTCTGAGCATCTGTATTTGTAGTAAGTGGTTCTGATACTCAAATCAAGCATCAGAACCACTATTGTGCACCAAAATCTACTGAATTCTCCCTTTCTGTTGAGCATGTAAATTGCTTCCAGTGTTTTGGTATAAAATATACTATGAGATTTATTATGCTACTTTGTCAAAATTGATTAATTTCTTAGGGTTATCCTCAAAGGGGAATTATTAATAAGATGAATATTAATCAATTAATTATTCAATTAATTAATCAAGGCTAAGAATTGTTTTTAAACTTGTGTTGTATAAAGCCATATTTTTTTCTTTTCAGTTTTCAATTCTAATCAGTGTATGAGGACCCATCCTAATCATTGCCTATACTGAACATTATTTTTATCTTTCCAATTTGAGTGGCAAAAAAAATAATAAATTTGCACTGTTTTTAGGCACATTAGTTTAATTCCAAGTAAAACTGAATTATATGATTTGTATTATCTACCAATGTCCTTTATTGATTTTAAAGGGATTTTCTTATTTTCTTGTTGATTCACACAATTTTTAAGTTTTTTTTAAATATATTTTTATTTATTGAGGACTATGAAAAAATTTTCTAGCATCTTTTAGTTAAATATTCTGAATACTTTAACACTTGGCATTTAGGTTGTATAGAGAATTTGCTATGAAGAGAGCACACCAGTTAAGAGAGTACAAGACTGACGCTGAGAAGACTTTCTCATGCATGTATAACTAATGGACCTTGTCTTGTAAGGATGATAAAGCACTAGCAACACTACACACTTATTTAGACAAATAAAATAATGCATTAGGTCCAAACAGTATTGATAACACCACCAACAATGAAATAAATGGTCATCCTATTAAGTAAAATGGAATTGAATTTGTTTTAACCAGACTAAATATAATATTGCAAATTATTTATTCTACCAACTACATATGCCTTAAGTATCCTGTGTGTGGACATGACTAGATTTGGGCCTTATATATCAATCTTTTACAATAATCTTCTCAAATGAAGGAAATCATAAGAACAGTTTACTTAAACTTCCAAAAGTTTCCTTACTTAGGCAGACATATTTTCCTAAGTAAACTTTAAAAACCTCACCAACAGAAAAGTAATACTATAAGAAATATGGTCTAGAGGTAAATATAATGTATAAGGCATAAAGAAGCATAAAAGCATACCCAAATCTACAGAAGTTAATGATAAATTATTTATGGAAGGGCAGGTTAAATATCTTAACCTGAATTTAGAATGCTTTTAACAAACAAAACTTACTTTGCACTAGATTAATTTACCCAAAATCAATAAATGGAAAAAGTTGAGGTCTGTTAGTTCCCATTCTAAAGCTTTTGTTTTATGATATTTCAACAAGATTCTCATTAACAAAAATGGTTCCCAGATGCTAGGGCAATGAGGTATGAATTTTCATAATCTAGAATTCAATTGAAAGAAAATTTAGAAATAAAACTCACTGGAATTTTTGCAGAGGTTCTGGAATTTGAGCGGGTGAGCATTTTTATTCAAATCCTGCATTAAGTTCCCCATCACCGCACTACTATGAAAAGAACCTGTTTGGAGAAGGGTTTTTTTTTTTAACCTAAAATCCCCGAAAGTATAAAAAGCAAAGACAAATAAGTAAGTCCTGGTTCCTATTTCAATTTATAAAAGGTCACTGTCAGCATACCAGAACTGTTAAATGTAGTTTACTCATCCAGCAAGAATGTGTTCCCTTGTGTCTTCCTTTCCTTCGATTTTTAAATGAAATAATCCATTTCAAGTGAGTTTATTCTGTAAAAGCTGCATCTAGTGGATAAAAGGAGTAACTAATGTAAAAAATAGCCCACAATATTTTTCTTCTCTTACCTTCTTGGCAGATCACTATTATAGTGCCTCTGGTGCTTAATCAGGACAATATTAATCCTTATTAATATGTGTTTCTGACACTGACTTTGAAATCTATGCCTGAAATGTATGAAGGGGATTCCACAGCAATAATAAAATGTGCTGCAGCACATCTGATCTCTATGTCCCTCCTCTTCCTGACGCCTTATGACTCCCTTAGACTTGCTTACAGTTACTACTTCTGGGTTCCTTTTTCTTTTGACTGGAAAAAAAATACTTTTTTATCTATTCTAGCAAAATAAGTGAAATAACTTTATAAATTTATAAGTCATTTGATTCTTATTATTAATAACATGCAAAAGCAATGCAGTCCATAAAATAGAACAGATGTTCAAGTGGTCCTTACATATGTAGTTCATGCTGCAGTTTAAATAGCAATCTAAGGAGACCATTAGCCCTAAACTATCATATGAAAAATTTCATCTTTAGTCAGGCAATTGAATTAAGCAGGAACTTTTAATGTGCAAAGAAATCTTAAATACCTGAAGACTATCTCCCAGTTAATTGCAATGTGCCTTCTATACATCATTAAAGAAAAGCAAATTTTACATGTAATAGTATTCAGTGGACTTTATGGAAGGATCACTTTCTGGAAAGAAAATGTGAATTAATTGTGAACTGGGGAATGATTTACCTATTGGTGAAGTGTATTATATTAACAAAATATAGATACATATATACACAGACATACACAGATAGCAGTGTGAAACTAAACTGTTTTTACATGGCCTATTAGATGGTATTAGAAAGACAATGTCTTAGAATAACTTTGTAGAAGTCTTTATTCCAAACAGTTTTCTCAACATAAAGCTTTTTTTCCTTATCCATTCCTTTTTTTGCTTTTTTTTGTTTTCTACTGTGCTGTGAAACTGTCTTTGGATATGGCTAATAACCCTGTTAAATAACCCTCTCATGAAATGGTTTTAGTTTTATGAAAGTAATGGTCTAAACCAACATATAATGTAATTGGGATACCATTGCATTAAAAAAATTAAATATGAATGTTTAAGGCTAAAAGTAAGTGTATTATAAAAATAAATTTCTCAAAAATAAAAATTTTAGTAGTTAGGTTTAAATCATTGAAAGACAAATCTAGTTTCTTGTGGACACAAAATAAATGAAAATAACTCCTTTCTCCCAACAGCATTTTTTAAAACATAGATGTCTCTCTCTTAAACGAATACTCCCTCGTTCTTACATTTCAGTCTAGTCCTTCTGGTGATTGAACTGACACCCTGATATTACTCACTTTAGAAAGTATATTAATTGCTTTACACCACTAATGAAACATTTACTTAGGAATGTGGGAACTAATTATTAATTAGCATTTAGTAAATGGCAGTCTAACTCTTAGAAGAGTTAATACTCTCAAAGTGTATGGTTTACTCATAGGAAATTTTTATTCTCCAAGTGGATCAGACCATCACGACACTGGAAAATGAACATCACTTACTTGAAATATTACAAACACATTTCAAGAGAATAAACATGTTAATGAAGGCTGATTAGTGGTGAACTATGCAACACTTCTTATTAGTCAACAATGATATTTCACTTGCTAATCAGTCCTCAAGTGCTACTCATTAATATGGAGTTTAGTTTTATTTTATTTGTATTAACCAATTTGGTATTAAATAATTTGGTATTAAGTAATCAACAAACTCAGTATTTATTAAAGAGCATAGTACAAACTGTACCCAAATCTTCTCAGTTATATAAGCCACTCCCTAGATTTCACTTCATTCAATACTGGCAAAACCTCTTAAAAGAAACAATGTCTCATTTACAAACTGTAAGTTGAAAGCAAAGAAGGAACAAAGCATGGAGGTCAAAAGCCCCTGACACATCTGTTTTTTAATCCGCTCGGAGAATAAGTAGAATCTGTACCCTTATTCCCCTATAGAGATAAACATGGAAGGAATGTAAATGTTTCCTTACGAAGTCAATATTACATGCAGCATGCCTTCCTGAGGTTTAATTACTTAATTTCAACAGTTAAATTGGCTATGTGAACCTAGTTTCTAAAAAGCATCCAGTGTCTTTAAGAATCAACCCAAAAGTGAAATACAAAAATGTTTCCCTATGAGTTGTTACTACCTTTGTCTTGACTGCCCTTTGATTTCCAGCCCAGGAAACTGAACCAAACATGGAAATCCTAGAATCTGAGACCGACTAAATTAAACAAATGAACAGACTAAATACACACAAATAATAAGAGAACAATAATTAAGCCATACTCTTTATTTTCAGGAAACCAGTAAATAAAAATTAGTGTTTTGATTTGTCGGTTTGTTTATGCCATTGTTTTTCCTTCTGGGAATGAATTTTCATCTCAGTCTCTTTGGGGTCATTAACATTCTTAGAGGCAAAGGAATTTAAGATACAATTCCTTTTCAATTACTAGTAATTCAAGTTTATTACTGTTTCGCAAAAAAAAAATCACATAACTGGTTGATGATGATGTCAGTTATTTGACAATAAATGAACTGTGAAAGTGAACAACACTAAGTACGACATGTTTAATACACTTTGAAATTAGTTACAATTGCCTTTGGTTTGGACTCTGGTGGAAGGAGCTGCAGGATGGTAAAATGAGAGGTTTATTTAGCATCTGGGAGAAGCTTATAAGAGCTTAAGTCCTCATTCCTTCTAACATCTTAACAGCTGTGCAGTTTCTTACAAAATATGTTTTATCGTTTCAAGAAATGCTGTTAACCTCGCAGTTTTAAAACTGAATGAACAAGGCCTGTTGGACAAATTGAAAAACAAATGGTGGTACGACAAAGGAGAATGTGGCAGCGGGGGAGGTGACTCCAAGGTTAGCCTCAATGTCACCAAAAGCGGGTAAACAGTATGTACAGTAATAGGTGCATCTGCTGGGAGACTTATGGTTTGGACCTAGTAGTATCATCAGAATTGCTAGTCAAGTCCCTTCACAAACAGAAGTATGCAATTACTGTCAAAGCAAAAATATTTGCAACTTATCAATTTGAGACGCACTAACAAACCTAATAAAAAAAGTCACTGAAAAAATCATTGAATTGAAGAGGTTGTGGATCAGACATGGTAGTCCTATGAGCCTCAGTTTTGGAAACCAGGAGGGATGCAAATTTTTGAAGGAGCAATTTAGTGAAGAGAGGAAGGAGAACAGAGAGGGTCAGTCTGTGTTGTTTACTTTGCCATTTTATGGCTAGAACTTCTGCAGAGTTTTTAAGTAACAGCAATAACCTGACTCCACCTGGGCTGTCTAAAGTACCCCACCAGAAAGTCATTTCTCCACCTAAAATCCTCAGGCTTCCATTAAATAACAAGTTAAGTAATAAATCAAGGATAGTTATGTGAAACAGATGCTTTTTGCCTTCCATAAATGGATCAAACTACAAAACTATCAAACGACAATCGAATGATCAGCTATGTTTTTACTGCATCCAGTTTCATAAAATAATGGGGTTTGTGATTTCTAAAGAAAAAGAAGGTATGCAATTAACATAAATTGTTAACTAGTGTCCCAGAATCCTTCTTCAGTTGGTATGTAAGATATTGAAAAATTTTAAATTATGCTCTTCTTTCTTTTAAAATCTAGAGACTTGCCCAGAACAAGATTTCCTGCTCTTCTTCAGGTTCTTCAATGGGCTATAAATGTTCTCACCTGGCCACCAAACCCACAGAATGATGCTCCAATTTTTAGGGAGTACCTGTAGGGATTGTCACTAACCTAATCATCTTCCAATGCCCTTAACCCTCCCTCGCTCCAAATCTAAGACTTTCAAATGCAGCTCATTAGTATATTCCCATCTAAAAACCAGCCCTATTGTAGGAAGAGGAAGGATAAACTTTGCTAAGTGGATATACTGGCCAGAGAGAGAGGCAGAAAAAGGAGGAGACAACACAATGTGTGGACATAGTTCTGATTGTCCATCTGATCCTGAGAAAGAATCTTGGGTCCCTGAAGAAAAAGAGCAGACAGAGAGAGAAATAAAAGGGGGTGTGGAGGGCAGGATCTAGAGAAGTCCTCAGGGCTTCCTCTGGGATGGTTCCCCTTCGAGATACCTCTAGTGGAGGCACCAACAGTGTTTTCTTAAGGGGTATTAACTCTTTATATTTTGGAGCCCCAACTTGCCTTGAATGTTCTGATAGTTTCAATCAAAATATAAATCAATAAACAAATAATAGGCAGATAAATAAGCAGAGAAAAGCATTCCAGTTTACAGTAATAATCTATTTTCCCATGCTAGTTAGAAATGTAGGAAAATATGCTCTACTAGCACCAAAAAAAAACAAAGATATTCTATTCTATTAGAAAAATTTGTTTACAGGTATTTATCTTTATCACACATATGAGAACTACACTACTGTTTAACAAATAAAAATTTCCACAGAAATGAATAATGAAGTCTTAGTGTACATTTAAGACTCTTTCCAGACAAATAAGCAAGCAGAGCAAAAATGTACACAAAATAGAAAAATCTATATAACAAAGTTACTTTAATTAAATCAAGGTATTGGACAGCTCAGTTGGATTCTAATCTGTTTGTATCCAACACATTGTTTGGTATATAATGGATGCTAAGTAAATATTTGTTGTCCAAACAAAATGAATATGAATCTAATGTTGTAGTTCTCAAAAATCAAACTACTTGTTCTCATAGGTATATGGTACATTACTTTCACTAACATGAACTACAAAGTAGTATTCTAAAATGTTATTTCAAATCTTAACAGTAATTTTCTAAAGTACTATAAAAATTGACATAAAATGTTCCCCCCAAATGATATTACAGTATGGTCTATTTTCCTTCAGAAATTCTGTTTTCATTCTGTAAAACCTTCCTAGTAGATTGTATATTGATGTAACATTTATCACCAGTAGAATAGGTGGTTACAACCTAAATGTTAATAATGCCCTACTCCAAATTTGTAGTAAAGGGTGATGTTTAAGTGGCCTGACCCAACTTAGATAAAAGTAAATTGCCAGGAGGCAGTTGGTGCTTTCTCATTTCTGTTTTGTACCTTCATCAGGTGACTGATTTTCTTTTTAAACTTCACTCATCCCTCCCATTTGGCCGATTCTTCCTCAAAAAAAGGTAAAATGAGGAAAAGTGCTGAATTGGAGAATGCAGCAGGCTCTTAAGCCTTCGCTGAGTGTAAAGCCCAAGTAGAAGAGATGATTAAATGCTGCTGGTTCAGTGTAAGGGAAATATGTACATTCAGACATCTCAGCACCAGCAAGCTGAAATCGATGTTACCTGATTTTCAAATACAAAATGGTAGGAGAAAACTAACTTTCCCAACAGTGATTCACCTGAGAAAGGGGGAAAAATGATGGAAATCTGGACAATCCATGAATGGGTTCCTCTGAGAAGACAGTTGACCCACCTGTCACTCACAGGTTTGTAACCACAGAGGACTTCTCCAGCCTTCCATTCAGCAGCAAATTATTAAGCTTCTGCATGTGGCATGTGGCAGTATTGTGGGGAAAGAGAATTACCACCGCCCTTTCCCACAAGGAGCTTATGATTTAATGTAATCAAGAGCTGAACTATTTAGAGTCACTGTAGCTGCTTCTGGTCACCACCCAAGGCTGCAAAATAATGAGCATTCCCACTCACCAGACAGCTGTCTCCAGAGCATGAGACTGACTGTGGAAGTGTTGGACCAAAAAGTTTCACAATGAAATGTAAAAATTTAAGAAGCAGGGGAAAATGTCCTACATCTTAAATGAAATCAAGTGGAAAGGCATCATTTGGGGGAGACAAATTCATTTGTTTGAAAACTCACTCCTTTAAAAATGTTAATATTGGGATGTGAGAAATTCATACCCATTCTTGTGAATAAAATAACCAGAAATTTATTAATTGATAATGAACCAATTTAAAAATATTATTGCAATGTCTAAAACTTATTTTCCTCTTTGATTAATGTGATATGGTTTAGTCTGAGCACAAGCCATACACAGAATTTTATGCCAATTTTTATGTGATTTGCTTAATCCTGGTTCCAGTTGGAAATTTTGGTAATGCCTATAATCATCAATGATCTATGAAATTATGATTTTTTCCTATTTGTTTTATACCTTATTCTCCTTCTATGTATTTAAAAAATAAGTACACTCTTAGATATGGATATTCACATAAAAATCTTTTCTGTAAATGTAATTACTAAATAATGTGTTTTTTAGGAATTTTATTAGGTCACACAATACCCATTTTTAATTGGCACTTTGAAGAATACAATCCATTCCTGACTTTAAATTGTGTTATAAATGGCCTACTCTCCTTCACCACAGCCATGGAAACCAGTGCCAGAATAAAGGGATTGTTGTGGAAATAGAAATTCATAAGCAGGAAGAAATACTCTGGTAAGCAAAAATCAGCAAGGAAGCTGCACCTTGGAGAAGGAATCTCCCAGTAATGGATATTCCTTGCTCTGCACCGGACTTCCACCAACTGCCCATTATTAATAATAAATATATTAAAAATTCCAATTCAATGTTACCTTCAAAAGCTAGGCCACTGGAGTAGATAGCAGAAGGGACAAAGAGTCAGTGGGAAACTGCAGGGGGTGGGGAGAGTAGTACCTTAAGAAGGGAGAGAGGTAAGCCATGGGTGGTCTTCACCTAATCCACAGTTTTGCCTTCAACTCTCCCTTCTAGGAGTAACTTCAAACTGTGCTTTCATTTTTCTTCTCTTTTCAGCACCAAGTACTCCTCCTCCTAGTGCACCCCAATCAAGAAGTCCAATATAGGCTAATACAATGTACCTTCATGGATGTTAAAAAGGCTATGGAGAGCTAGCCTGGGTACCTGGAAACTCTTACAGCATCAGTTAAACAAAGAGGCTTGTTCTAGATTGAAAATAATTTAATACAGCAACTCTACAGAGCATCCACTCTGAGTCAGTTGCCCTGGTAAAAACTGTCTTACAAAGATGAAAGAGATGTGGCTTCCGTTCTCAAGGAGTCTGTAGTTCGCCAGCTAACCTGAGGTGTATGTGGTTTTGTAATTATCACTTCATAAATGGGTTGGAGGTATATAAATAATAAGAACTAGATAGGGATAAATTAACTCAGCACCTGAATTAATCATAATCCTCACCCTGCCTCACCCCCAAACTCAGCTTTTAGTAAAACGTGTTAAAGCATGGACATGTTAAATTTTAATCCAAAAAACAATATAATATTCTAGGAATGTGACAAATGCATATCACTTCTTAAATGGAACAATCTTATAAGATTGTAGAACTTCAATGCAAAAATTAAATTGTATTCGGAAATCATATAAACAAAGAAAAACATATTTTTGGAACTTTTTTTTTGAACCAACAGAACCAAAAAGGAAATGGGTTTTAGTTTAAAGGAAGCAGAAAACTCAGTTAACCAGACCTCCATTTCTTGAGTTCTGTTGTTAGTTTTTAATTGCACAAGCTATGAAGTCAGACTATTACAAATCCTGATTGAGCCACTTCTTAGCTGAATGACTAGTTAACATCCCTATACCTTGGTTTTCTCCTTTGTAAAATGCAGGTGATAAAAGTAACTAAACATGTAAAATGCTTTCAACAGTGCCTGGTGGATAGTAAATGCTGCATAAATGGTATCTGTCATTATTAATGTATTTACCGAGTTGTGTAGACAGGCTTACAGAATTAATTCCCTGGGAACCAAATCAGTGCATGCTGTGTTTCTCTATAAATGCAGTCAACATTTCCTAGAAGTGAGGCGTTACGAGATACAGCCACACAAAGTGATTGTGGCAGGCTTAGAAATGTCAGAAGGGATGCGAACAAGTCCCTCTCTGAATGTTTATCAAAGCAAAAAAAGAAAAACCAACCAACCACAAAAACAATCACTACAAGAGATACCAGGAATCGCTGCTTTCTCTCAATTTTCTTAGCCTTCGTTTTATATACACAGATGGGAACAAAAACCAGAAGAATTCTTAGATTCCTAGGAACATTGATGCTGAGTGGTGACTGACCCTTTTCTTCCTAGAGATTCCTTATTTAACATTCTATATTAAAAGACTCAAGAATAGTAGAAAAGAAAAATGGGGTTTTACAGTACAGGGAGTTTGTTTATAAAAACCTTAGTTACTCCTAACCTATCATGTATTTGTTGGTAAGAATTTGTAGTATATATTATGGTAACTTCTCCTTATACTTGAACTCTATTTAATATGGTAGACTCAAGACAGATGAAAATTACAGTGGTACCATTTAGATTAAATACTGCAATTCTGAAAGAAATATCATCATGGGCTTAAGCTTTAATGGTTTATACTTTTGTTTCAATAAAGACCTTCCTCTGCATGAGGCGACACTTTGTTAATAACCCCTGAATCACCTTCCTCTCTCAATTAGAGCCCGGACCAGAGTGGTTAAGGAGCCAGCTTAATAATGGACACTGTTGACATACTTTCATAGCATAATGTAAAATTCCACTAGCTGAGCCATAATACACATGAGAAATGAAACCAGTCCTATCTAGCTTTTATATAAGTCTGTCTGTCAACCTGCAGCCACCCATTCATTTTGAAAGGGGAAAAAAAAGGAACCTCTGAATTTTGAATGACACCAGCATTGACGTTGAGAACATTGTAAATGCTCCAGAAACCCGACCCATGCCAATAGTTTTGGATTCACAGTAATTGCATACATTTTATTTAAAACTGCTCCCTAGCAGTATGTGCCTGTTACCTAAAGCGACGGAGCAGGCCCCAGTTTTATGTCTGATTCTAAACCTGGGCCTACAGTACAAGACATAACACCCACTGTGGCCTCTGCTCCGTCACTTTGCCATGCGATTCTAATGTGGTTTTACTTGAATAACATAAAATAACATATATAATGTTATTTATGTTATTTTCCACGTGAAGAACTCCTGTAAACCTTGCCGTTTTGAAACTCAGTGAGGCAGGCGTCTTAGACAAGCTGAAAAACAAATGGTGGTACGATAAAGGTGAATGCGGAGCCAAGGACTCGGGAAGCAAGGTCAGTCGCTGCAGCTCGGGGCCTCCCCTTGTGTAACAGAGCAGTGAACGGGAGCATTTGTCCAAAGTATAAGGAAATAGTAAAAACCCAGAATTTCTCGCTACACTGCCTAAGTTAGAAGCTAATGTCATAAATTTCAGCCAAAGAGACTGTCTTTTCAGGAAATTTCAACCTGCTCCCCAGGTTTAAAGCTTTTTAAATAAACTCAAATAAACTGCAAAAATAGATAAAATAATACAGCTCCTTATATTAGTCTCAAACTTATGTACCACTAATAAAAGTAGTGCTTTTTGGTTAGGATTTTATTTTGGAGGCAAAGACCATGAAATCTATTTCAAGAATGACTGTATTCTCAAAACAGGAAATGGGAAATTGATCAGTGGTCATCTGGTTAAAGGAGATTTTAAATATTAAATATATCTTATTCTGAGGTTCAGTCTTTTGTCACTGCATTGCCAAGCATTCCACTTTCGTTTAAAGAGGCCCTATTTTATTTTTGTGCTGACAGATAAACAGAGTAAAACTTCCAATTCTATTCTATCAAAATTATTGTAATAAATCTGTGTTTATGAATAATATCCTCAAGTTCTAAGATCTCTTACTCATAAATTCTTTTTAGAGCAATGAAGGAAACTATAGGCCTGATTATGTTGAATACAAATGAAAATAGTGTAAAAAATGTAACAATTTATCAATGAATCTAAATACCTGCACAAATTAGTAGAATATAATGACAGTGCCTGGGAGCTCTAGTTGAGATTTGAAATCTTCTTTTTTTTCTGTGTCTTCTTTTAAAAAGAAAAATTTATGTATCTGTTATTCTAAGACACTAAACAAGTGACTGGCTTAAATAGGAGAGCCTCAATTACTTTAAGACAGAGACAAAGTTAATTGATCACTTTCAGGGCTTATCCTTATATTTTAATCACTTTTTCTGCCTTTGAACCAGAGTGGAATGAGACAAGCTTGGCCGATTAATGAAATAGTTATCTCATGTCCTTATGTCAAGGCAGAGAAGCCTAAATACTTTCTGAGTGATTATTTTTTTTAATGAATTTATCCTAAATTTGTGGCCCAATCAGCTGATGTCATGGCTAAGTGGAAGAGTACGTAGTACGTCTTTTGAATTAAGCACACTCTCCTAATAAAACTAAGTGTCTGAATCACATTTTGCACAAAACACTGCTGAGAAGATAATGGCCACAGGACATCCTGCAGGTAGTCTATCCAAACTACTTTTTCAAATAACATTATATAATATGCCATCTTTATTTATGAAAACATTCTGAATTCTTGTTAGAGTTTTAATATCTTCGAATCATATGTTTGCCTATTTCTGAATTTATTATGAGACAATATGCATACTTAAGTTCTGGAGAATAGCCTGTCTAAAATGTTAACTGATTAAGAATTTTTAAATGGGAATGGAAACATGTTTTTAAATCAATAAAAATAATTATAAAATTTGTCCATATATAATTAATATCTCAACTAACCATGGTAATTTGTGTATTTTTAAAAACTATCTTTAAAAAAGTTACCTAAATGTGATTCATTTATAATCATTCCTAAATAGTAGAAAATATGTAAAAGCAACGCTTTCCAGATTTCCCATACAGATGTGACTGAAAGAACAAATGATATGTACCCAAGCAATTATTTGGATACATTTGGTAAAGTAATGATAAACAAAATGTGAAACGGTTAGCTTAAAAAACTTTAGTTACTTAAATAGGAAATACCAAGTTAGATTTATTCAAGAACAATCTACATATTAAAAGTATGTTTTAATGGCAGGAAAGCCAAAAGAACTCCCCTTCCCATGTAATTGGGTTTTAAACACATCATTTTCAAACTTAATAATAAGCCCACTTCTGCCACCCTGTGTAAATATGTAAAATATACAAATATATATGGCCAAGTATAGTGGTTTTCATTGCATATTTAATAATGATAAAATGTTACAGATTTTATTGAATGTAATCATATACAATTTATTGGTAATCATAATTTTACTTCTCCAGAGAGCTATAAGCTTTATGCCTAAATCCATAAACCTACGTCAGTGATTTATACACATAAATAATCCTAGGTTAAATTAAGCATTTACTTTGAATAGCTGTTTGGATTTCATGTGTTTTTTTACCTTCCCGATGTGGCATTTCCACAGTTAACTGAAGTGTCTTTATTCCCCGCAGGACAAGACAAGCGCCTTGAGCCTGAGCAACGTAGCAGGCGTCTTCTACATTCTGGTTGGCGGCTTGGGCTTGGCAATGCTCGTGGCTCTGATAGAGTTCTGTTACAAGTCCAGGGCAGAGGCGAAGAGAATGAAGGTGGCAAAGAGTGCACAGACTTTTAACCCAACTTCCTCGCAGAATACCCAGAATTTAGCAACCTATAGAGAAGGTTACAACGTATATGGAACCGAAAGTATTAAAATTTAGGGGTAGGACTTAGGGCTTACTACAGTGAGTGGGTGATGCATCCTGTAAATGCAATGTTGTGACCTGTCTGTCCAGTGGTGGTATTGCTTGCTTCTAATTAGAGCTTTATATTTTTGAAAACTTCAGTGCAAAGTGGTTCGGTTTTCTTTGGCTGCAGATGTACTGTTTGAAACTTTATGTTGCCAATAGATATCTGCATTGAAAGGGTCAGAGAGACAAAACAAAACTCTGGAATTGCTCCATGACATGATTTAAACAGTATATTCTACCCCAAATTTGGGAGAAATTGGAAATTAGATATGGGTTTCCTTTTACACAGACCAGGCTAATCTTCTCTGGAACAATCCAATTTTAGGGTACATGCTAACAAAATAAGCATAAAACCTGTTTCAAATAATCAAATCTTAGATGCCTATTTTTGGTAAGATTATTTGTTTTTGACAAACAATATATAAATAAGCTCCAAGCACATAGTAAGTGCTCAACAAATTTTAGTTTCTCTTCTAATCTGTTTTACATTAGCCATCATTCTGTATTTCTAAAGGGTAAAACGCTGTTGTTTGTTCATCTGACAACAGTCCTTGAGCCAGACCTTTAGGCAGTAATGATAATCAGAACACTGCCTACATTCATATTTATTAAACGAAATTCAACTTTTATGTACACAGTATCACTAAGGTGAATAGGCATTTAAGGCAATATAGCAGTTTCTCCATCAGAGATACCAGCAAATATGTGTTCTTTAGGAAGGATGCAGTAAAAGATAAAAATTGCAGTGAGTTATTATGGACTTTTTAAAAAATTTCAATCACTTTTAAGGAAGCCAGATCAGCCCCACTTATATCCTCTCATCATGTCACAATAAAAAATTGTAAGTAGTTAGTGAAATATAGGAGATGGAGATAATTTTTCAAGAATCTAAATGACCACTATGTTTTTCCTCTAATGACAGAAAGTGGTTTTATAATAAAATCTGAAAGCATTTGTTATTGTTCTTCCTAAAATCAGGCCTCCAAAACCCATTTTCTAAAATTATATATAATAGCCAACTGAACAGGCTGCTCATTCTGATTACAATGATAAATGAGCCTTTGAATTCACAAGGGACATTCAGAGCTTGAGGCACCCTAAAGTCAAAAACCTACAAAAGTTTTCCTAAGCGTACATCTGCAGTTATAGTAGGTAAACATGCTTGATTTATTTATTTACATAAAAGCTACTGAAATACTTGTATTTTAAAACAAACAACAAAAGCCATCTCTTTTTACCAAGCTCTAATTGCTTTTACTCATAACCTAGAAATCAATGATTGAATATAACTGCACATAGATAAGCCCAAAGTGGTTCTTTCCCACCAAAATGTGGAAAACTACTAAGAACAGAACCCTCATTTCACTCAGATCCAAATGTTTTGAGCATGTCTTCTAATAGCAAACAACAAACTAGGATGTCAAGGGCTCTTGGCCCTAATACGAATGCTTTCATCTTAATATTGACAGAATTGAGGAGAGTTTTCCAAACTGAGAAAAACAATACCTGACAAGTTTTCAGGGCCAGTTATTTTTATTTCATTCTGAGGTGAATTTTATAATACGTCTTTTAAAAGGTTGTTGGGTTTTTTTTCCTAGTTCATTAAAACTAACTTTTCTTTGACATGGCATTCCAGCCATCAGCAAGGTCCAAGGGTAAGGAAAGCAAAACAAAGAAAAAGAATATAAAATTCTAGAAAGAAACACTAATGGATGCCAGTACATTACAAAGATCTGGGAAATTACTGAAAGAGATATACATTCCTAGGTTATGTACATATAATTTACATGTAATAATGTTTTGGGGGTCAGAACCTGGTATTGCAGATCTTCACATGAATTGCCTTTAGAGCTGGGACTGAACTTTAAAGACAGTAAGTTTCAAATAAAAAGCAAACCTTCATATCCATGACTTTTAACAAGACTTAATGGCATTCAAGGTAAATGAAATGATCTCCACCTATGAGAAGACTTAAGAGTAAGTAGCTTCCATATTTATTATACTCCCTTATATAAAATGGCTTTTTCCTTTTAAAATCCCAGTTGGCCATAACTACGCAAATGATTAATAATTTAGAAAATACTGTCTCAGAAGCTCAAAAACAAAACCTAAAAACTTAGAGTAAACCACTTTTAGAGTATATTTATTCTAAAAGTATATTTACTCTAAAAGTGATCATCCCTCATGGGACCACATACAGTGAAGGTCACAGCCATTAGCCACAACAATCCAGCCAGAAACAGACCATCTGTGAATTTTTAAACAAGTTTTCCTGTTTGAGCAATCTCAATGGGTTTGCATTAAAATGATGAGAAATGACATTTTATGGAAGAAATAGGTGTTGTATGTATAGGAAAGAAGGATGATAAGAACTGAGATGCTAAGATTTAAAGAGAAGATGAAGAGCTGTCAAAGATTTATTAATGAATGTCCTCAGTTGCATTAATCTATAGGAGAGATTACTTGAGAGTACATGGAATCTTTCCTGTTTAGGATTATAAAGGTAGTATTAATTTTTGCGATGGTTCACTAAGGCAAAAATATGATAATGACCTTGGTTTTTATCACAGATATGTCGTTAACTAGCAAGTTGGCTTAAACTTTCTGAAGTTACCAGGGTACCTGATCTCTAAACCTTTTCATTATAACATTTTATAATTCAATGATTAATTTCATTATTTAATACACAACTATTCTAATATTTAAGTTCCAGGGCAGAATAAATATAGGTATGGAATTCCTAAAGAATTAGGTAAACTTAAGTTCACAACAGAGAATCAAGATGCATTATGAGTTATGAGGTGGTTATTATCTAAACCATAACAAACTTCAGGAATATCTCATTTGCCTTATTTTCCTCTGAGTTAACATTAATATTTCACTACTAGAAAGAATTCAAAGGCAATGAATTAATAGTATTAGACTTACATAATAGCACTGCCTTTTTCTCCTCTGAGTAATACTATTATCTGCTACCTAACATGACAGAGAACAGAAATTTAACAAGGATTTCAGAGACCTGACCCCATAACCTCAATCTGGGAAGTCCCCCAGTGATGACCATTCACAAGGTATTGAAACATGGCCTCTTTCAGTGCACCCCCTTCAAACACTTAAAGCTTCTTAAAAGATGAGCCTTAACTTCCAGAGAATGAACTTTATGTCACTAACTGTTCGTTCTGGGTCATGTCATTAACTGGTGTGAATGAATGTAAGTGTGGATAGATCTGTGTTCTGAAAACAGGAATATCTATCATGAATAGTCAATGTATATATATATATTTTGTTTAGACAATTCATCCAAATTTTGAGTGTAATCACAATATTGTAAGGACATTTTCTAACAAGAAAAAAAGATTCAAATAGAGTGTTGTCAAACTTAAAGGAGCTTTTAAGCTGGACTAGAAGTACTAGGGTGTAGAATGCAACCAGTTAAAAGATGTGTCCTACCCATTTGCCAAACAAAACCTAGATTTATGGTTTTAGAATTTGTTCTCAAACAGGTAGGACCACAAACTTGAGGCTGGGATGTTCTTCAGTGCAGCTGAGTTTTCCTTTCCTGTAACAAGCAATTTTTATATGACCAAAAGAATATGGAAAAAAATGCAGATGTCTAATTATTGATATTTTTCAGTGTTTGTTGTGTCGTGTTTTGTTGGGAGAAACAGTAATATTGTAACACTCCACATTCTTTCTGTTTCTTTTCCATGCAACCCAGCTTACCTTTTCCGAAGCCATAAGAAACAAAGCCAGATTATCCATCACTGGGAGTGTGGGTGAAAACGGCCGAGTCTTGACGCCCGACTGCCCAAAGGCTGTACACACTGGAACCACCATCAGACAGAGTTCAGGATTGGCTGTCATTGCATCGGACCTACCATAATAACCAAAAACATAACTGAGTGCCTTAATTAAACTGTGTTGGTGACTGATGGAAATGCAGTCCTGAGAGACACGCCCAGCGCGGGTCTTAACGAAATGATCCTTCAGCTGAGAGCTGGAAGTACTTCCTAACGCGCCGGACGTCAGCAGCAGCAACGTGTGCATGAGCTCAGCTCGGGAACCCAAACTCAGATTTTATATCAGGAAAACTCACAATTTATGTTTTTTTCGGGGAGTGGGTGGGGGGAGGAAGCTGGGACGGGTGTATTAACACAACAAATTTCACTCCAGTGGATTTAAACTAATCAGACTTGCAAGTTAGCGCACGAAACTGTGAAGTTCTTGCTCAGAAGGCCTTGGTCTTTGCCTCAGTGGATCAGATGTTGGAGAAGTCCGTAAACATGCTAACCTGTATCTCCGGAACACCCATACAGCCAATGGAAGACTATCCAGCTGAGGAAACAACGCACTAAATGGTAATAAGGAAATAATAAACAAACATGTAAAGCCTGTGAAAAAATTTAAAGGCAGTATTTACACTTACTTGGGAGAAAACAAATACTGAAATCTGCTTGCTTTTTTAACTGATGTAAATTCGGTAGAGGACAACACAATTCTTTTTTCTAACCATCTTAGGGAACAATACATTGCAATAATTGATGTAAACTTTAGAGACTTTTTTTAATAAAAGTTGTTGGTCATCTCCTTGTTTGCTGTAACCTTTACCCTGCCACATGATTCAGTGTCCACAGATTGCATTCGTCTCACTGCCAGGAGCAAAACAAAAGGAAGACATCGTGAACATAAGCTCATTGGTCTGCAATATGGAATCAAAAGAGACTACGGGTCACTCATGTTATTGGTATTATTTATAATCTTGTTCTGTGTACAAAATTGTGCTTTTTGTACCCACCAAAAAGAATAAAACAACAGATGTTCTTACAATATCTACAAAGCTTAAGGTTTTTTTCTTATCATTACAAAAGTTATTTGAGAAATTGTAAGAGTATAGGAGGGATTTTAGAAGTCAAGTGTGGTCCATATTGGAAAATGTAACTAGCCCTTATTGTTTTTGTGTACTGCGCTACCTTCTTTCTATTGCCTCGTTAGTAGGCTAAGTTGTCAAAGATGGAGTATTTGAATTGGGGAATGATTCATTGTCATCACAGCGACATATCCTGTAATTGTGTGTTGAAATTTTACTTGACTGTATTTTGTTGCATAAAATAATGTGTCTCTTGGGCTTCTCCCTCCATTGCCATTATTCCATTAAACTCCTTTGAAGGAAGGCACTAATAATATAATAGTTTTTGGTAAGCAAGAAATACTAGACCTTGTTTTCAACTGGAAATTGTGAAGAAAACTATACCCATTTTTACTTTAAAAAAAATCATTTTATGTCCTGTATGTATTAAATGAACATGGCTCAAAAGAAGTTTTGGGTCATTTGAAATAATAAATAACTACTATACTACAGATAAACATCACAATACTTAGAGATCCTGGCAGAAAGCACAAGATAGGATGATTTTTGCAAGTATGGTCTTGAAGGAAAAGCTGAATTTTCATAGGTGGTGATGGTGTTAGGAGTCTTACGTGCAGGCAAGCGGTGGCCAAGGGAGTGTATGTCAGCAGCTCTTTAAGGAGTGTGTGCGGCAGGAGGGGCTGGGGAGGGCGTGGGGTGTGCTATCATGGAAGATGAAGCTGGAAAAGCTGAAGGACTTACCACCTTGCTTCAGCTCTCAGGATGGCCATTCCCCTTTCAATCTCTGTGCTGCAGTGAAGGCAATCTTAAAAAGTGCATACATAGTAACACACACACACACTTCCCTCAGGAAAAATGTTAAGCTCTAGAGCAGAGCAAATGAACTCCTTTATGATCTGGTCCTTACTTATCTCTTCCATGACTTTCCTCACCCCTACCCAACCTCTCCAGCCCACAAATAAACCTCCAAACACAGCACACAGGACATTGTATTTATTATTTCCTAGGTCTGTCACTCTTCATCATCTCCGCTTTACCTAACTTGCACTCACCCTTCAGTACTCAAATTTTACCTGTCCTTGGAAGATTTCCATGACTGTCCCTTACCCCCTACCTGTGAGACTGAGTTAGGTGCCCTCCTAAAGTTTTCTCCCTGTCACAGCACTTGCCGTACTGCATCGTAATTGCCTGTGTACTTGTCTGTATAACTACTAGACTGTAAGCTCCTTGAGGGCAGGGACTGTGTCTATCTTGTTCACAGTTGTATTCCCAGCACCCAGCACAGTGCCTGGCATATTGTAGGTGCTTAATAAATATTTGTTGAATGAATGAATGAATTGAACTGAATTAATTTAATTAAGCAGACACAGAAAGGCAACATCTTTCCTCATCAACAGTCCCTAGAGTGTCTGTTACGTACATAGTGAGTCAAAAGGAAGGTCAAAGGTTGGCTGATTTCACCATGTTGTCTAATTACTGGAAGGAATGGCTAAAAAGTCAAAAATAGTGGCCTGATGGATTTTCTGATCAAATGAGAAGTTATTCCTTGTCATAGGTAATTAAATTAACCAAAACAGGGTTTTGGTTTGTATTTTAGCCAAACTTCTAAAGGTATCTTTCATTTAAGTCCCAGAGTGTATTAGTGATAAAAAATTAAGTAATTATATCTCTTATAGTTTTATTTCAATATTAGTGATAGTGTTGTGTAGTTGAATTTCTGTTTCTTGAGGAATAATTTTGCCAAAAACAAAATTTTTAATTTGACATCAGTTAAAAAATATGTCTATCTGGACTCCTATCTGAGGAAATGCTATAATGTCATTTTAAAACATTTATATTTAGGCTAAGTTAAAAACATTTTATTAAAAACACTTAATTCCATAAAGTAAAGAACACAAATATCAAACAAGCATGATCACCATGCAGTGCAGAATTTCCTGAACATAACAGGCAAAGCTCATTTTGAAGCTATGTCAGCTAGTTAAACGCATACAATGACCACATTTGAAAGATATAAAGAACCCTCAGGAAAACCACTTTGGTCCACTCAATTCTACAGCAACTAATTAAAAAATGCCAGCCCCACTGTTACTGTACTTGCTTCAGGCTGTGCCCCTCCTTCCCCCGCCCCCCCATGCCTCCCACCCCCATCTTGTCATCTGTTGGCTGTCAGTTTATTCCGTTTTCCTAAGGCATAGCACACAATAGATGTAAACATATATTTGTCAATGTATAGACACAACTTACCTATTAAGTCAGTATCAGTGACCACATGGTCTAACAATTTTCCCAGAAACAGAGTATCCCAATTTGCAATACCAGTGAAGTGCTAATAGGAATAAGGACTAAATTAGAAGTGATACCCAGGGAGTTTCTGAACATACAATTTAAACTGTGCAGAATCATTTGCTTTAATCTTATTAATATGATGCTGTGTGAAAAGTGTATCTTATGCACATTTATAAATGGGTTTAAATTTCAGATAGTCTACCAGGCTGGAGCACTTAAGACCAAATACAAATGTAATAGGTGGGTGGTATGTTTACATATTTTCTAAACAGCTAGTACCAGTAGGGTCTTCAACAGAAAACTGTTCTTTGGAAAAGATTTTGACAAATTATGAGCAAGAGATGAGATTTGGAAATTATATCTCAAAAGACAATGGAGATTAAATTACTTTCCACAAAATAAGAATAACCTGTTTATTCGGTTAACCTGCTTTGTCCTTATTTACTTTCTGGGGAAATATGGGCAGAGGAATAAAGAAAAATAAAAGATAATGGGAAAGAGATATTAAGAAAGCAGAAAGCCAGGCAAAAGGCCAGTAGGATTTTCCTGGGCAGCCGAAGGAGTGTATGGGAACAGGAATGTCTGATACGGGATTCTTCCATAATGTTTGATGTATTCCTCTTCCCAGGACCTGCACACAAATTTTCCAGGTTAAAGGAGGGAGTCAAGGAGGAAATTCTAAGTCCCATGTTTAAGTTGATGCTAGGCCAGAAATAATCCTAATGTAAGTTTTTTCCTTCCGACAGATATGTGTAGAAATCTAGACTGGGGCTTGTCCTTCCACATGCAAGAATGAAAGTTCCTTCAATTGTTTTGGGTCTGAAGAAGATGGCAGGCTGAAAGGTCCTCCAGAAGACAGACATGATTTTAGCCACCTGTGCTGACTGCAATGTCTCACAAACAACAAAATAAGCAAAAAACATAGATATTATTTATGACATACAAGATCATTAAATAAATATTCTGTTAATTTATATTGCCTAATTCGTGGCTTGAGTGAAGGAATTAGTTAGGAGTTTTGTAATCCTGTAGTCCCAAACACAAAGAGAGCTGGTTTAAGTGGTGGATTCCCATGATTTCCTATCCAGAATTTGTGTATTTCACCAGCATTTCTAAAGTTCCTAAACATTCAGTAATGACTGAAAATTTTGTCTGTAGAAAGTAATTTCTGACTGGCAATCAAAGTTTCAATATCTGATTGAATGATTGACTAAATAAAGGAATGAATGAGTGAAGACCCTCTAAAAAAATTAGTGATCATTGCCTATACAGAAACTGTGAGCTCCTCAGATCTAATTTCCCAGCATAAATGTGATTGCTTTTAACGTTTTTTAACACAGAGGAATTTGGAACAAGTTAGACTAACACTGACTCCATCTAAAGATTGAATTAATTCTTCAATGACCTAAAACTGATGCTGTTTCAAACTTCTAGAAAGTTGGAATTGATTAATTCCATCTGCCTGAAAATTTCTTAGAACCATACTTCCCACCACTATTCTGTTTTAAATCTAAGCATAATTAAAAATCTGCCAGCACCATTAATCTTCCAAGACTACTGCCAGACCAGGTGGCTTCTGAATCTTTGGGCCTCAGACCGACACAGGAAATGGTGATGCTCTATCTTGAGTTTCACTTTGCATTCTGATGCTCCATCCAGGAGGCCTTAAATCCATGGCATCCGTGATCACAGCCTCACATGGAAATTATACCAACAATCTCTATTGTATCACATTCTCCTCTCTCAAGAATTCTGTGCTTCTCAAATTCTCTCCATTCATCTTCCTACTGCTTCCTTCTCTCCCTGACCTTACCACCATTCTCCCTAGTGCCCTCAGTAAAAAGTAGGGAAACTCCCAACACCCTCAACCTCTCCCCAGGACATTGTCCAGTCCCCTGATATCATCTCTCCATATGACACAAATTTAGAAGGCAAAGGAATGGCAATCCTTACAGTTACATCTCTGCCCCCACACAGAAAAATCCCTCCTCTTTGAAGTGTGTGTCATCAAACCATGCTGTCAAAACGCACTGCCTACTTAGGAAGCAGTGGGAAGTTGAATGCCCATTTTGTCCATTTTGTCGGCTGATCTCTCTGTCGTTGTTTCACATCCACCAAGCACTGTGGCATTTGCTTTATTCCTCCATTGCACTCCAAGTTCTAGTATCATCTTAAGCAACTTCAGGGTCAATGCAGATTGACCTTCATTTATGCCCTATCCCTGCAGTTCCTTCACTTCCCATTGGTCTTTATTTAAGTTGCACATACCAATAGCCATGCAGCAGACCTTATGATCATTTACCCCTTCACCTTCCCCAGATAACTAATTGCCCCTTCCCTTCATACCTTAGTTACTGAGAAGAGTGGTCTTTAATCCCCCATTTAACCCCTTTATTAGGCTCCATTACTTCACCAAAATGTCCATCAAAAAACATTTTGTAGTCACGTTAGCTAAACATTTTCAGTGTGGAACTAAACTAACTGATCTCTTCATTCTTTATCTTTTTCCCTACCCCTCTCTTTATTCATTCTCTATATTTTATGTTCCCCTTTTCTTCCAATCAAATGTTATCTCCCCAGGACATTGTCCAGTCCCCTGATATCATCTCTCCATATGACACAAATTTAGAAGGCAAAGGAATGGCAATCCTTACAGTTACATCTCTGCCCCCACACAGAAAAATCCCTCCTCTTTGAAGTGTGTGTCATCAAACCATGCTGTCAAAACGCACTGCCTACTTAGGAAGCAGTGGGAAGTTGAATGCCCATTTTGTCCATTTTGTCGGCTGATCTCTCTGTCGTTGTTTCACATCCACCAAGCACTGTGGCATTTGCTTTATTCCTCCATTGCACTCCAAGTTCTAGTATCATCTTAAGCAACTTCAGGGTCAATGCAGATTGACCTTCATTTATGCCCTATCCCTGCAGTTCCTTCACTTCCCATTGGTCTTTATTTAAGTTGCACATACCAATAGCCATGCAGCAGACCTTATGATCATTTACCCCTTCACCTTCCCCAGATAACTAATTGCCCCTTCCCTTCATACCTTAGTTACTGAGAAGAGTGGTCTTTAATCCCCCATTTAACCCCTTTATTAGGCTCCATTACTTCACCAAAATGTCCATCAAAAAACATTTTGTAGTCACGTTAGCTAAACATTTTCAGTGTGGAACTAAACTAACTGATCTCTTCATTCTTTATCTTTTTCCCTACCCCTCTCTTTATTCATTCTCTATATTTTATGTTCCCCTTTTCTTCCAATCAAATGTTACACTTGATATTACCCAAGGTTCTATCCTCTGCCCCTTTCTCTTATAGGACATACGCCACCTGCTTGATTTTACTGTCAAGATGTCTGCTGTCATCTATATATTATTAACTCAGAAATCTCTACCTTCCACTCTAGTACCAGATGTCCTATTTTGTACTGTTACCTCTTTTTTAATTCTCAGTCACAACATGCCAAACTCTTCATCTTTTCCTCTGTATCCCTAATTCCTCTTATAATCCCTGTTGCAGTGAGTGGCACTACCATTGATCTAATCTCCCAAATTAGAAACATGGCAATCTTCTAGAACCCCTTTTCATCATTCTAGAAGATTGCCATGTTTCTAATTTGGGAGATTAGATCAATGGTAGTAGACCATTCTCACATCCAATCAGTCAACATCTTAAATATCATCCCATGCTCTTCATCCATACTATGACTGACTTAATTCAGTGACTCATACTTTCTCACTAGAGTTCAATTGTCTCTAACAGGTCTTCTTGCTTCTTGTCTCACTTGTAACTCCCTCTAGTCCACTTTCCACATGGCTGCCAGAGCGATTTTCCTAAGGCAAAAAAATTACCTTCCTGATAAATTAACTCAGTGTCCATCATATGGTGGCTGTCAGTACCTCCTCTCCGCTGGTCTCCACCACAGGGACACCAAGTCACTGCTCACAGCTCCAGCTTGCAGAACACTTCATGTTCTTTCCCTTCTAAATGTTGCCAGTTATTATCT